GGGAGACAAAGCCTAGTTAGAGGAGGTGGGTCACTGAGGGCATAGCTTACAAGGTTGTAATCTGTCTCCCTTCTCCCTTGATCTCTCTATGGCTGATCCCTGCCTGCCGTGCCATTAACTGTTTCTCCTTTGTGATGCCCTTCTGCCATATTGTGCTGCCTTGGAACCAACTCATTATGGACTGAAACTTCTACAATCTGAGTCAAAATAGCTGGGTGTGGTGGTGCATGCCTATAATCCAAGCATTTAGTTGGCTGAGGCAAAAGGATCACTGTGAGCTCCAAGCCACCCTGGGCTACATAAAGAGTTCAATACCAGACTACATTACAAAGTAAGACCCTGTCTAAAAAAAGGGGTGAGGGGAGTCTTTGAGTTTCTCAGACCAAAAATTACTCTTTCCCTTACACAAATGCATTGTGTTTTAGAATGTGATCTACTACAGCAATCACAGGTTGGGTCAGAAACTGTTACAAATAAAACAAGAGTTCAGTTGCATGGAGTAGTTAAGAAAATGGACTCCCCAAAAGCCTCACTGGAAAGCAAAGAGAGAAAGAAAAAAGGAAGAAGTAGGAAAGGAAGGAAGGAAGGATGGAGTAAAAATTATTTTTTAAATTGAATTTTCAGTGAAATTAATAATGTCAGGTAATTAATGATGAAGTCATCCAATGAGAACAAGTTATGGCAGCTAGAACAGACTTCCGGGATTAAACAACCATTAGTCCCTCCCTTCCCACTGGTGGCTTCTTCATAGACTAAGTTTATTCAAACAACAAACAAAAATTCATTGAGAATAAAATAAAGATTTTGTGAGGTATTACACTTTGATATAATTCTCCAGATTTAAGATTCATAATATTTTTCTGCACATAAAATATTTTCCTGAAAATGGTTACTAGAGTAAGGAGAGGCTGATGCTTATGAAGAAAAGCAGATAGCCTCAGAATTGTAAAAGGAGATAATGGTATGATATCCTAGGTTTCTGCAAAGACCTCAAGGAAAATTCAGCAAAATTTAAAATACCATTGCTATGTCTAGAGACTTAAGGGTGAGTCAGATGGCTGCACAGCATTTAGAAGAATAAAAAAATTCCTAAAACATAATTTTTCATTGTTTTGCTGCTAGGCCACTATAAGATCTTGAACAAGTTGCTTAAGCACTTTGTGCTTCAATTTCTCTAGCTATGAAGTGGACAGCTGTGTAAATAAGGACAAGGAGAAAGGAATAAAGCAGGTAGGCATCTAATACTGTATGCAGTACAGGCCAGACTTATAGTAGCTTGGGTCACATAGTGAAAACATACATGACAAATGAAGGAGTTGAATCATAGTCCACCAAGAGTGTGTGAACCTATCTCCAGGAACTTACCAACTAAAGATAGGGGCAGGGATCAGGTATATGCTGTATTGTTAACCTGACTCATTGGCTCAACATTAGACAATAATATTTATTAAATACACCAAAACCGGTGGTAGGAGATGCTAAGACCTGTGCAATGGGAAAAACATGTCTGTATCTCTGTACCGAGAAACCTACACCCTAGTTGAATACAGAGACAAGCAAATTGGCAATTATAAGGCAGTGGAGTAAACGCTAAAGAATAACAAATGAGATTCATGTTAGCCAATCAAAGGAGAATGTTAGGAGATTTGTTGGAGGAGGTGATATCTATAGGCTGAGATCTAAAAAGTGGAAAATTAATTACTTTGGTTTTTTTTAAAGTGGGCGGAGTGAGGAAGGGATGATTTCTGGGCAGAGAGGAGACACGAATGGAAGCTTAGTGATGAGGAGATTGAGTGCTTCATCAATAAGGGAGCTGCAGCTGATCCAGTGTGGAACAAGAGACAGGAGTAGCCAGGAGTACATAAGCCCTGAAGTTTGATGTGTATCCTGCAAGCAGTGGGAAAATTTGAAAAGCTTTATCAGAAAGTAAAAGTTAGTCACTCTTTTAAACAAATAGTTACTGAGCACCTACTGTATGCTAAAACTATTCTAGATGCTGGGAAAAAAGTAGTTAAACATAATCAGATATGTGTATGAGCACAATTAGTCTGGCTATTATGTGGAGCACAGTGTGTATAAAAGCACAGACATGAGAGAAAGGGATCATTTATCTTATACTGCCTCCCTTAACCATGAGTTTTACTGCTGTGACTGACAATAGGAAAAGAAAGTTTGGTGATGAGTAGCATTTAGTATGCTACACACCTCATCTTTGAGAAGAGCAGGCTCTTGAAAGTCTCCTAGTGAAGCATTAAATTATTGCTTTGACATCAAGTATTTCATCAAGTACTTTACTAGATTTGTCCACACTTACCTAGACAAATCATTATTAAAAGTACATGAAATTGAAGGAAAAACACTCTGGAAGCCTCCATTTACGTACAAAAGTAAACATGACTCAAAAATGTCTGGTAAACATAACCTTTTTCTAAGTCACCAGAAATATTGCTGGCAGCTGTTGGTGACAACTTATTTCATTACATTCTAATGATGCAAACTACTCCCTCAGGAAGATTTAGCTTGCTGCAGACAAAATGCTTATTGCTTCTTTACTCATGTAGAGCACAAATGATTGCTGAGAAACTCAAACCCAATATTCAAGATGTTAAACTAACCTAACATTCCAACAGCATTCTATGGAGAATAAAAATGGTCCAACAGAAATACATTTCATAGCCCAAATTATGGCCATATTTGCACTCTATTTGTACAGTCTATTAGTCCAGGTATCCCTATGAAACCTGGAGTTTGGAAAGTTGAAGGAATTTCTCAGTATAGTTCACACCCTTCCCTAGTTAAGACTGAGTAATCAGTATAGTCTTTAGCTAGAGTTACCCTGGCTAACTTGTGGGAGAAATGCCTGTATAAAGACCTCATCCTGTCTCCAGCCTTAATAGTGAGGGCATTAAGATAGTGGCTTCTAATTATCTGCCAGGAAACAGGTGCTTCAGAATTTTCTAGAGCAATCATTAGCAACATGGATTTGCTAGACCTGTCTGAGACCTACCAAATGAATACCTCTCAGTGGATGGCCCAGGAATCTGTACACTTAACAAACTTCCTGGGGAATGTGATGTGCAGCCAGATGTGTCAGCTTCTTTCAGTGTTCCCTGAGCAGGGGCAGGGACATCATACAACCGAAAGAAACCAAAAAGTCTATCTCGGAGCATTCACTGGAGCACTACTGTACTGGTCAACTTTCCTGTTGCTGTACAAACTACTTGACACCTTCAACTTAGGGGAGAAAATATTTATTTTTGTCTCATGGTTTTGGGGATTTTAGTCGATAGTTGGCTGGCTCCAAGGAAGAAACATCATGGCAGAAGGGTCTGGTGGAGTAATGCTGCTTAGTTCATGGTAGCTGGGAAGCATAGCAAGGTAACAGCACCAAAAAGGAAGGAGCCAAGACCAGATATAGTACCCAAAATCACAACTACATGACCCATCCAGACACACTCAGAAGTATGCTTTACTAATCCCCTAGGCAGCTCCCAAATTTACAAATAAACTTAGTTATCATAACAATGCTCACATGTTGTTATTACCTCTGGCTCCAACTCTGACCCCATACTTCTGATGTACTCTCCTTTTCCTTCCATTGATAAGTCCTTGAGAAAGTAATTTAGCCTTCCTATGCCTTATTTTCCTCAACAGCAAAATAAGAATAATCTCAAAATTGACTGGGTTGTTAGAATAATTAAATAAGTTAATAGATAAAAATATCTGACCCATATTAAGCAATCAGTAACTATTACCTATCTACAAACATTTTCTGGCTATATTTACTTCTCATTTTTTCCTTTATTACTGGAAAACCCTTTCTTTGCCTTCCCCTCTAAGCATAATCTACCTTCTGTGCCACTCCCACAAATTTGCATCTCCAGATTCTAAACTAATTTTTTCACAAGCTCCAATCCTACCTCATGTATACACCTTAGATCTGCACCAGTACTATCTGACCTGTGAGGCTGGATTCTTCCTCTCAGTGCCATCGCAGACTCAGTGTTCTGGAATTCAAGATGAGTCTGCACAAGTTAACCAACAACAGGAACTGCCTCTGGCTAGGCTAAGGGAAAGTGAACTTCTTTACCTTCCCCCAGGAGACAGAAACTCCTGAGACCATCATGTTGCTTGCCTAGCAGTGTCGTGCAGGACACACATCATCACAAGGGCGAGGATGGTAATAATAACAACCACTGATGGTCATCAAAACTGGGGCAAGCTCTCTGTTAGAGGCTTCATCCAATAGCACTTCTGAGACAGGTATTATGCATCCAATTTCACCTTTGAGAAAACTGAGGCTTGGAGAAGTTAGGAAATTTATTCATGCCCACAAGCATCCAGGGTTCCAATATATTCACCCTGAGTCTAGCATTCTTTTTTCTGTTCCACTATGAATCTTCCACAGAACTTGGAATCACACTTTACCAGTAGGATTAAAATCAGGGAATATGTAGCATTCCACATGGAAAGCTTGCAGCCTCAAATTGTGTTACTCCAAATCAAATATCTGGCCTTTGTGGGACAATGTACTATGAACTAAAAAGCAAAAGAAAAAAAAAAGAAAGAGAAGAAAAGAAAAGAAAACCTGCCACTTAGAAGTGGGTGATCACTTAAACTTGCTAAGTCCTATTTTTCTTCACCAGTAAAATAGAGAAAATATTACTTCTTTTTTTTCCCCTCATTGAGTTTAGTGGTACATTTTAGGTATACAATACAGTTACATTCATTATTGGGATCTTGTACCTTTACATGACAGGTCTTGGTTCTCATTTTTTCCCCTTGTCCCTGCCCTCCCTTCATCGCCTTCTCATGGTTGTATATGATGATTAAATAATATCATAAATGTGAAGTGTCTTAAAGTGATATGCAAATATTAGCAATCATAATGATTAATTACAGTATTTACTCAACATTTACTGTATTTAAGGCAGAGGTTGTGTAAGTGTGAAGTAGACATATTCCCTGCCTGTTTAGAGTCTGATAAAAAGGCAACTACAGTGCTTGTTTCAGTAGCACATATACTATAATTTGAACAACACAGAGAAAACTAGCATGGCCCCTGCATGAGGATGACATACAAATTCATAAAATGTTTCATATTTTTGAAAAGCAAAAGACAATTACAAAGTAGTACACACTGAAGCAACAGTTGTCCATTATATAGTGATGACACATGGGGAAAGTGCCCAGCCCTGACTTGAGAGGAGCAGGCTCAAGCTCTGGAATCAACCAAAGAAAGAAAGGGAAGGAGATGACAAAAATATAGAGAAGAATCAAAGATATCTCTAGAATTTGGGTTGAACAGTAGCTCTTTTCCTGCTGTAAGAAATGTTGAGAATAACATATTTGGAAGAAGCAGTAATAAATTTTGCTTTGAATTTGATGAGCCTAAGTGCTTGGGAAGAGCCCAGGAGATCTGTCCAATAGTCAGCTGAATAGAAGGACCTGGAGCTCAAGAGATTGATTTTGCATAAAGCTATAGATTTTGGGGTTGTTATGTAGATGGCTTGAAAGCATGATGGGGTTATACAGAGTAAAAAGAAAAGAGCACAATACAGGTAGAGTAAGGCTATAAAAGGCTTTGGATTCTATTCCTTCCTGCTTTCGCACAAATCTTATTCCATCAAATACTCATGCCCTGCTCTCTCTTACTTATTTCTTTAGCCTCTATTTTTCTACTTATTATTTTCTGTGGATATATAAATATACTGTCTTTATCATCAAAAACAAATCGATTTTATCTTCCCCATAGCTCTCTCCAGGTACAGTCCTTTTTACGAGATAAATGTTATAAAATAGAGGTCTATGCTTGGAATCTCTATTTCTTCATCTGCTTTTCACTTCTCAAGCCTTTCCTGTCTCTCTATTGAAGTACATTTCTCAGGGTCCTTCAGTCCGTTTGTTGCTAGAGACAAAAAGAAAGATCTTGTTTGTTGTTGTTGTTGTTGCTATCTCACCTGGCCTCTCCAAGATTGTAGAAATACGAAATATCAACGTCCCTTTTATTTGAAATTCATTCTTCCTTTGGCTCCCCAACTAGCTGTTACTTTCCTAACTTCTTATCCCCAATTTCGGCTCCTTGTCAGTCATGTTGGTGTCCTCTTCTTTCTCTGTCTCTTACTCTCTCTTTAATACTGCTATTCAGAATTCTTTCTCAGGCCCCTCTTTTTTAAATTGTAAAAACAAATTCTATCTCCTTTCTCCAAACTAGTATTTAATCCACGCCCGAGTAGTTAGCCTACAATAGATAAAGTCCAACTCTTTCATTTTAACAAAATAGAAGAAATGAATGATAGCAGCCATCAGTAATTTCTTAGGTTTGATTGCTGGAAGTTTGGCTGGGGATTTAGCTCAGTGGTTCTACCACCTGCCTCACAAGTGCAAGGACCCAAGTTCGATACCCGGTACCAAAGGGTGAAAAAAAAAAAACACTCAATGAGGGGAAAAAAAAAAAAAAAGATGGCTACATAGACTGGGGATTTAGCTCAGTGGTTCTGGTGCCTGCTTCACAAGCACAAGGTCCTGAATTCGATCCCCAGTACCAAAAAAAAGAAAGAAAGAAGTACAAATCTGGTGGTTGATATTTCCTTTAAAAAGTAACAGGCAAGTTCATCTACTGAATATGTGGTATAAAGTGGTACAGTTTGAAAATATTAGGAAAAGGGAGAAGTTTTGAAATTACCCTCACAGATGATTGGGAAAAGGAGTAAATAGAGAAATATGAAAGGACTACTGAGAAATGTTGGAGTCCCAGTTAAATTGAGAATGATAATTTTAAATGTCTCAAATGTGCCTGCTATTTTCATTAGTAGTTAAATAATATATATGAGAAGACTACAAATGGTAGGATCCAAGGTGTGATTTTCCATATAAACTTACAGAAGGATAATAAAGGAGTGAAGACCAGCCAGGTGTGCAATCCCAGCACTTGAGAAGCTGAAGCAGAAGGATCACCGTGAGTTTGAGACCAGCCTGGGCTACATAGAGAATTCCAGGTCAGTTTCAACTGGTGAGACCCTGTCTCAAAAACAACAACAAAAAAGGAAGAAAGAGAAGAAATTAAAGATAACAGCATATCAGCAGTCAAAGTATTGGTCCATGAAAGTCTATGCTGAGATGAGAAGTTTTAAAAGGAGGAATTTGAGAGGAAAAATCTCAATAAGTTTGAAGAAACAGCTGTAGATGCCATAGTTAAATAAACAAACTGAGGAAACCAGGGGCTTTGGTCAGAGAATAGGATCATGGTCATTACTGTATTGGAGTTGGTACAGTCTGGATAATGATAAGGGCCCCTATAGGAAGCTGAATACAGGTGATGGTTGCTGGAAGCAAAAGGTGAGTTTATAGCAGGGAAGGGTTACAGGTAAAACATCACTTCTGTGAATTCATCACCCCCCCAATATAGGCTTCCTCTGAGCTCTTTCCCATGAGCACTTGTATTTTTGCTCTTACTTCACTGTATTCTAGTTATCTTGGCCTCTGTTCATCTCTACTTGATGGTGATCTCTTCAGGAAGATGCATCAGATCTCATTCTTCCCACCCACAACACACATGGGTCAGTAAGCATACAACTTCAAGTAATTACATGAATGTGTCATAGTAATAGTTACAATGTGACTCATATCATAAGCCTCTTTCTTGACTTTCTGTAATATTCCATTGTTGTTTTTGTCCTTAAATTTAAAAATGCATTTTGTTTCCTATTTATGCATATTTATCTTTTCATAATAAAATATCTTCTCTTTTTTCTAAATAATTTATTTTCTCAAGTTTTAAATCATAATTGTTTATCCTCTCAGATAATATTTCTTTTTTGCTTTCTTCACATCAGAACCACACAAAGGGTTTGACTACTATAGAAATTAAATCTTCAGATAGTCCTTCCTTGATATAGAATCATTATTTCATTCCATGAATGATTTATGAGTTGCTATCCATATGTCAGACTATCCTATAATAAGGCTCAGAGGATAAAAGGATGAAGAAGACAATTTCTTCCTTCGGTCAGACCTATAGACAGGTAAGGAAACAAGACAATGGCCAGGCAAGGGCTGTACCAGTCAAGATACATTGCAGTAACCAACAACCCAAAAATTTCAGGGTACAAAAAGCAACAATGGCATGCATCTCACACAAAGTCTGTTGATGATTCTCTGTGGCATCAGCCCTGTACTCTCGCACCTCTGTGTCAATTCACACTGTCAGAATTGCCAAGGCAAATGCACATGAATTCTTCTAGCAATTCATCAGCCAAATCAAACTGTCTGGCCACACCTGCATTCAGGAAGGTATGAAGGTTTCCTCCCTTTATCTGCTCAGAAAAAACAGATTCAGATAAACAGTGAAAATGCCCACCACAGTGACAATGCAGAAGAATGAGTACTATGGTAGGGCATTATCAGAGAACATAAGAGAGGCTTCTCAGGTCTAGGAGAGTCAATGAAATCTTGCTGGAGGAGAAAACATTTAATCTGAGACCCCAAGGATGAATAGAATTCAATAAATTAAACAGATGCTTAAAATTAAGAGGATTGCTACACTGTACAAGCTGTAGCCAACAATACCAGTTGAAGGTAAACATTCTGCAAATATGTACAATTATTATCTGTCAAACATAAAGCTAAAGCAAAATGAAGTGGTAAAATAGTCAAAGCTGTAGGAATCAAGAGCTACACATACACACACATATAGTAGTCCTACGACCACTCTAAGAAAAAACTCTGACAAGGGCCAGGGATTTAGCTCAGTGGTTCTGCCTCCTGCCTTGCAAGCACAAGGACCCAAGTTTGATCCTCAGTAACAAAAAAAAAA